GCTGGTGCCTGAGGAGATTGGAGCTGTTCTGAAACCTCTTCCTACATTCAGAACACTCATAGGGCCTCTCCTCCGTGTGAATCCGCTGGTGCCTGAGGAGACTGGAGCTGCTCTGAAGCCTCTCCCCACACTCAGAACACTCATAGGGCCACTCTCCTGTGTGGATGCGCTGGCGGCGGATCAGGTGGGAGCTCGAGCTGAAGCTCTTCTCACATTCCAAGCACCTGTAGGGCCTTTCTCCAGCGTGGATGCGCTGGTGCCTGACGAGGGTGCAGTTGTGCTTGAAGCCCTTCCCACAGTCGGGGCAGAGGAAGGGCCTCTCCTCCCTGTGAATTCGCTGATGGCTGAGGAGGTGGGAGCTCTGTGAAAACTTCTTCCCACATTCCCCACACTCGTAGGGCCTCTCCCCAGTGTGGATGCGCTGGTGCTGGATCAGGCTGGAGCTGTCTCTGAAGCCCTTCCCACATTCCCCACACTCGTAGGGCCATTCCCCAGTGTGGATCAGCTGGTGACGGATCAGGCGGGTGCTCTTGCTGAAGCTCTTCCCACACTCCAAGCACTTGTAGGGCTTCTCCCCAGCGTGAAGCTGCTCATGGACCACCCGGTCCAAGCCCCGGCTGAAGTTCTGGCTGCTTTCATGGCACTGGGTGGGTCTTTTCTCCTCAGAACACCCTGGCCTGGGTTTGGAGCCCCTCCTTGCGCAAGATCTCTGTGGCTTTTCCTTCTCATTGGATTCCTGTGCCCTGGAGCTTCTCAAAACAGCCTCTTCCACGAGGTTCTGCTGGGGTATTTGTCCTCCTTGGGCACCATCCACAGCTCATTGTCTGGGGGAGGAAGGAGAAGGAGAGGATGGGATTTGCCTCCATGTCTGAGGGAAGGGGAAGGAGATCCCCCCAGTCCATCCCCGGCAGGACGGTGTCAGCAGCGGGGTTGTCCTGCAGCCAGGGACAATGCTGGGCTGGGAGATGGAGCAGGAGAGAGGGGAAAGGAGAAGTGACTTCCTCCTCACCTGCCTGGGGGTTCTGGGACATCCTCCTCTTCCTCACAGCCTCCTCCTCCTCCATCTGGTCAAGGTTTGGGAATGGGAAAATCCTGCTTTAGTGGAAAAACAAAGGATGAGCATGTTGAGTCTGAATGTGTCCCTGCTCAAGTCCATCTCTAGAAGGCACCAGGCATCTGCTGTCCAGAGAAACCTCCCAAACACCAAGATTCAGCCTCAAAAATCCTCCCAGGAGCTCT